TTTCTCAGCTGTCCGATCCTTCAAACTGGAGAAACTGGAGAACGTCATGCTTGCAGATTTTGGAGGTTCCGTCCCTGACTTACGATATTCCCCTGAGCTATCAAGGTTCTAGTCCTCAGCAGGGGTTCAAAGAAACCGTCAAAGCTGCTTTATAGCCCATGGGGCCAGACCTGCAGAATCCTCGGGCTGGCAGAAGCTTCTTTGGGGGGGGCCAAGAAGAGGCTTTCCCCGTTCCTCATGGGCGGAACCTTTCAGCAAGTGTTGCTTAGACTTGAACACGGGACCAGATGAGCACAGAAACAATGTGGGGAAGGGGGCTGCCTTTATATCCCTGGGACCTCACACGCCTCGGAGAGGGTGCCTGAGGTTTCCCGTATTCCTCACACAAAGGACGGCAGGCGCTCCACCCTTTTATAACCAAACACCCAGCCTTCTGCCTGGCCTGCCTTCTCAGCCGAGCCAAAACACCGAGGAGGAACAAGGAAGGTCTAATCCTGCTTGGGTTGAGCTGGCAATGCGGAGCCCTTTGAAGGAGCCCTTTGAAGGAGCCGTGGCCTGATTTTCTGCCCGAAAGAAGGGGAAATGTTTTCGTTTCCTAATCACAGAGAGGTGGCCAGAAGCCGGAATTCCCTTGGGAAAGAAAAGGAAGGAGGTGGCCCTTCTGTATTTATCCCTCTATCGGTTCCTTTCCGTCTCCAGGAATCAAAGCCACATAGACGGTGCTCCTCTTTCTCCTCCACCTCCTTTTCGTTCTCACGACAGTCCTGTGAGGTAGGATCAAGCCGAGAGCCTGCAACCAACCGGTCCAAAATCCAAGGGAGATTTAAAGCAGGTCTCCGGAGTCCCTAATCCCGCTCTCTGCACCAGGCTGCAACTGTGCAGATGAATCATAAATGGTTCGGTGCGTGCATTGAGACGTCTCGAGGAAGCGAGCCAAGCTAGATCCTGGAAGGGAAGGGCCTGCTGCCTTCCTATCATTTTTTTCCAGCCAGTCTTGTCTTCTCATGAATTGCCCAAAGTTCACCCCTTGGAAATTCCAGCTGCCAGAAATACAAACGGTTTCAATCCAGAAAGCTAGATTCTGCAGGCAAACCCGGGAATGCTGTGTTTGTTTTTTTTAAGTGGTCATTTCGTGGCACCTCCATTCTCTGCCACCTTTTGCACAGGTGGTGGCGAGGTGAGACACGGCGCAAGCTGCCCAACCAGAAACGTCTGGAGAAAACCGGAGACCGTGCAGACCCAAATTAATTCGAAATGTAATTAGCTGTACAAAGGGAGGTGGGGGTGGAAATGCATGTTGAAAAAGCGCCACAGACGTAAGCAAGATTCCCGGAGATTGGCGAGAGGTTTACATCATCTCAGCTTCCCACAAAAATATACCACTTCAGCGACCACAAAAATATGCCTCTGGTTTTAATAACTAAACCCAATCTTTTCTTTCCCTCGGAAAGATGGGTGTAAACGAGGCGGTGCGGTTTTCCAGTCTAAAAGGTGTTTGCTTTGAATCTGCTGTGAAAACAAAGTTTAGCTCCCGACAAAGGGATGTTGGCACTTTGAAGAAGAAAAAGACACCATTTCCCCACCTTAGACCCTATTTTGGCGGCTGGAGAAAAACAGAACTTCGAAAAGTTCCTTTTATAAACAATGGAGACCACAATGACATATACGACTCCCACAATTATAAGAGATTTAATTTGTTTGTGTGTGTTTTTTAAAAAGATGAACACCTACAGACTCTGGAGATATAAATGCAGGAGAGATGAAACTTTTATTAGGCCGCTTTTTAAAAAATAAATGAAAGAATCAGCAAACTTTCATGGGCCATGTCTTCAAGCTATAATGCAGGACAATGATACATTTGAGTCCCCAAAATTCATTCTAGAAGTCTGCTGAGCGGAAACGCTGGCTAGAAACAGCCTTTGAATGGTTTCAAACGTCACCCCTGGCCAAAGGGAATTTTCAACCCAGCTTTTCAAGCAGAAAGCCACCAAATAATCTGGAGAGAAGGCAGATGCAATCCTGGGAAAACTCGGGAGGTTTATTAACAGACAGCGATGGTTATCTGCATCTGAGTCAAAGGCGGAAAAGTCCCGGGGAAGGTGGGGGGGGGGACCCAAAAGGTTTAGGTTGGGACAGCCACAATGTCTCGACGGTGGTAGATATGGCTTTTGTGGCCGGACAGTTGCACAACAAAACCTTGTCTGGCACACCCATTTTTTAAAAAAAATAAAGTGTTAGCCGCATGTAGAAAGGTGATTGACAGGAGGTGATAAGAACGTGGCTGCACAATGAACGCTTCACCCAGAAATGTGCACCTTTTTTTGCACGGAAAATATCCTTGGAGGCAGAGAAGGGCAAATTTCTTAATGCATCAAGATCCATTGGCTTTGAACAACATTTTGGTGTACATGTTTCTTCCAGTTTCTGGATTTGCACAAACAACCAGCAGTAGGGGAAGCGGTTTCAAATCTCTGTAAGTTTCCAGTTTTTGGAACTAGTCAACTCCTTTGGAAAACTCTAATTCTACTTGAGGTTGTTGTTATTATTATTATTTTAAACTCAGGTCAAATTGACGTGGAAGAGCGCTGATGTGTTTTATCCTTGGAGTGTAACTGAGCCGATGCAGTTTTTCTATCTCCTAGGAAGAGCTGGGAGTAGACCGGACTCTTTGTCTATGATCGAGTGCGAGAAGCTTTCTTCCCTTGTGGGAGCTGGACTAGATGGTCTTGGGAGGATCCACTCCGACGCTGAGATTCAAGAGCCGTAGTTGTTCGGTGGGAAAATAGCTCCCAAAGTGTCATGACGGTGGATTCATTTGGATCCTAACCTGTGTGTGTTCTGGAGACATGAGTGTCTATTTTCTTCCCTAATGAAGCGTGTGATTCATTTTGCAGTAAGCTTCCCCCGAAGGGAAGGAGAGATGATTGGGAGTCTCATTAACCAGAGAGAGAACATGAACCTAAGAAAGGGAGGGGGTAACTTTATAGAAGCAACTAAGGTGTATTCTTTTAGCAAAAGCAACCCTTCTGATTCTTGACTTTGGATTTTCGTTTGAAACAGTTGGAGGTTCCAAAAGCTCCCGTCCCTTCGTAGGAAGTTGCATCTATGATATGGAAGAGGAGATTAGGGGAGCTGGAAGAGGATTTCGGCATTTGCCTAAACTTCAGAGCTGCGGGTTGCAGCTCTGTGCTGAGCTGTGAAATGGTCTCGGGGACCTTGGATGGACCCCTTTTCCTCTCCTTCCCTTTCCCTTACCCGCCTCGCGGGGCGGGGGGGCTGTTTGGTGGATTCAGGTGGAAGGGACAGTCTTAGAGTTGTAAACTTGCCCTGCAAAAGTGTCCCTTTCCAAAACTCAGGGTAGAGGGGGGGGGAGTCAACATCCTTCAGGGGGAAAGGCGAGCTGTCCATTGGTCAGGCTGTAAACTCCCCTTGCCGTGTAGGACTCCTTGCCTGCCGAGCAATTCGGCCTTTCTAAAAATACTGCTTGCCCTCACGGGTGTTGACGATGGGGTGAGTTTCTTCCCGAGAATTCCATGTTCCACAATTATGGCTGATCTCATGCTATATATAAAACCAACACAACCTGTCCGCAACCACAAAAGGATAATAATAAGCAAGCATGCACCTAAATGCGGCTCGCCTGAGAGACCGCCCTGTGCTGGAAAGCTTGGTGTCCTGGCTAGGCCTAGCTTCCTGTCTGGACAGGAAACTAGAGAGAGCTAGGCCTAGCTGGGTCACAAAGCTGCCTTGCTTAGGCCTTTCTTCCAGGTGAGCCACATCTGTCAGTGTCTGTAAAATCAGGTGGAACTCCCAGGGTGGAGAATTATGGGACTAGTAGTCCAGAAAAGCCAACAAACCCATGATTTTCCCCCTGTTATTCTAGACAGCTCCAGATGGGTGGAAGAATTCCGTCCGGCACAACTTATCCCTAAACAAATGCTTTGAGAAAGTGGAAAATAAGTCCGGAAGTTCCTCCCGAAAAGGCTGCTTGTGGGCCCTGAACCCGGCCAAAATCGACAAAATGCAAGAGGAGCTCCAGAAGTGGAAAAGGAAGGACCCCACCGCCGTCCGGAAAAGCATGGCCAAACCAGGTGGGCGGGCGCGAGGTCGCGTTGATGGGCTTTCCATCCCAAACCCACAGAAGTGCTCTTTCCTCCCTTCCTAGACGTGAAGGTGGTCACGCTTCATGTTTTTTTTTCCCTCCCTGCAAGTGGTTATCTGTTTTGGGAACAGACGGCAGGATGAGGCCCCTCTTTGGTCTGATTTGGGCAGGCCTTGTATGGCGGTGCGGGAAGATTCGAACATGAGAGCAGAACGAATCCTCCATGGGTGGGAGCAGTCTATCTGAGACTGCTGGAGAGGTGGAGTATGACGAGGCTATTGCCAGAGGTCTTCTCATCTTCTCATCCTGTGTTTGTTTGTTTGTGTGTGTGGTTTGTTTGTTTTTTCCAAAGACGAACTGGACATGCTGATCGGAGACAAGATGGAGAAGCTGAGGTCCACCCTCGCGGCCTGCAGCTCAACCGGTGTGGGGAGCCCCTCCACAGTGTCTGGACAGATGAACCTCCAGCACCCTTCTCTGAGTGAGTCCCTCGCCTCCTTTTGCCACCCCCGGCCCGCCACATGCCCAAAACCCAGCACACTGGGGGACACCCCCCCAAGCTTCCTGCCATGTGGCATTCTCCCCCCCCCCCACGTTCAGGCTCCAACTGCCGTCCGACAGCCCTCAAAACGTCCTCCTTCCCCACAGATGCGCCCAAGAGGCCCCGAGGTCAAGAGTCCCCTCTGCCGGCTCAGAGCCCTCCCGGGCGGGGTGGGGCAAAAACGCTGATGGTGCCAGCCCGCTTCACTCAGGATGTGGCCATGCCCGAAGGGGATCTGAGCAACGACATTGACACCCTCAACCCGTCGCTCACTGATTTTGACCTCCAAGGTAAGGACAGGCCAAGGGAGACGGCGATGTTCTCGTGTCGTTAGAGGCAGTGCTCCCTTACAAACAAAAATACTGTTATTTATCCTGGCAGATCCTGGAGTCCTGCAGCCAATCGCTATCTATGGTGGCTGGCTGGGGGATTCTGGGCTTTGCAGTCCAAAGAAAGAGGAAAGAACTTTCCATCCAATCAGTTACTGGATCTCCTGATGTAAATCTTGTTGATTTAATAGGTCTACCATGGACCCATTTGTAGTGGCACATATAGTGACTGAAAAGCCAGGGCTTACGTAAATATCATTGATTCAATGGATCTACTCTAGTTAGATCCAGCCATCAGATTTACACCTCTGTGTTGAAGTCTCAAAAACTCGCCCAGTTGGCATCTGTTTGTAGGGTGGAGGACAAAAGGGGGGCATTATTTTTGCCTCAGACAGCAAAATACTGTGCCTTGAGTGCCTGATGGACCCTGAACGGGGGATTGTGGGATTTAATAGACTTCCGCCTCTGACGTGGCTCTTCCAAACTCCCTGGGTTCAAACTTCACCCAAAACAGGGTTTAACTTTAAGCTTTCCTCTCAATCATTCCGTTTCCACTCAATCACCTGACAAAAAAAAAAAGGGTTCCATAAGACTGGAGGAATGTTGTAAGGTCAGGCGATGACCTCAGAAGTTCCCACTCAGTCACCTGACAAAACACCCATGAAGGGTTCCGTAAGATTGGAGCAATGTTGTAAGGTCAGGCGATGACCTCAGACAGAACCCATTGTTAGAAGAGGTGGTTCCTTAAATGCTGAAAGCATCTGATTGTCACAGCTGGGGTTCTGTGCCAATGCGTTTGATAACTTTTGCGATTCGCCCCCGTGCGCTCAGCAAAGATTGCGTTGGCAACTTGGTCACAGAGATCTTCCGGACGCTGGTCTTGGGGAGCAGGGGGGACGATTCCGGCTTCCCGCCACCCACTGTCAGTCTGCAACCGCGAACGTGACCTTGTTGTGGTGACTGTTTTTTTGGTGGTCTCGCCTCTCTTTCTCCCAGGGAACCTCTGGGAGGAGCTGAAGGACGACAGCTTGGCCCTGGAGTCCATGGTCCTCGCAGCGGCCACCTCCTCCTCCTCCTCCTCCTCCCCCCCACACTTTGAGCAGTCTTTCGCCACCCCGGGGGGTGAGACGGACGACAACAACAACACTACCGCCACCGCCAGCAGTGACGTGGGCAGCCACCCATGCGCTCCGCCCCACACGTTGCCGGACATCCACCTCACGACCCTATACTCTGCCTTCATGGAGCTGGAGACGGGCTCGGCCCCCTTCTTGAACAACCCCGGCTCCAAACCCATCGCCCTCGTCTAAGACCTCCGGGCCACGTCCACCCTTTTCCCATGCGCCACGGTTCCACTTTCTCCAGCCACAGAAACCGAAGTGAGGTCTTTTTTAAAAGCCTTGGAACTGAGACTGGTTTTTTCCCCCCTTCTTCTTCCCCAGCACGACTGGGCCCCTGTACCCCCGTGTCCCTTGAAAACATAGATAAATAGAGATCTGTTTTTGAACCCGAAATCCCTCATTCTCTGAGAGGTGAGGCATGGAGCCGTTCAGTCTTCATGAACGTCCATCCCGTGGAAAATCCGAAGGAAGAGGCTGCCGACCAAGCCGGAAACACCAAGAAAAATAGGTGTCTTTGAGGAACGTTCTGCCCAGAAGTGCCTTTTGAACCCAACGCTGGAAGGGCGAGAGAGGAAGGAGCCGGAGAGGCCAAGAGAACAGACGTGGCTCCGACACAGCTTTCGTGCCAAAGGCCTCTCATTTTGTGGGGTCTTTCTGGGGGGAGGTGGCAAGGGGGGGGAGAGAGAAGGTCCTGGACTTTGAGGAATATTCTGTATCCCTGAAATTCTGGCTGTGCTCCACAGGGAGCAGCCAGAGGGGTGGGTCGGGTGGTGGGTTTGGGGATTTCAGCTCCCAGAATTCCAGCCGGGGCGGGGGGGGGTCTGCTGAGTCCAAAAACACGGAATCTCCATCCTCTCCTGCTGGGACTTCAAAAGGGTCCACCTCGCCAAGCCTGGGGGCCTGGACCCATGAGTGGCTCTGTGGCCGCTTTGGACGCGTCCATTCTCTTGGAACTGCAGTTAACGCAACAGGTAACACAAGGTGTGTGCTTGGTTCCATCCCTACAAAGAACAAACCAAGACCAAATTTTTCGCTCATTTCCTCTTTGTTTCCCATTAAGTTTTGGCTTCAACGGCTGCCCCCTTGTGGCCGCCGAGAGCACTTGCTTCCTTTTTGAAGACAGGAGAGGGAAAGCGTGGCTTTCTAGGGAGATTGGACTACAGACCCCATCATCCCTCAACATCAATTATCGGGGTAGCAGCTACATGTTCCCCAACCAAGTTTTCCATTTTCTAATTTTTTTTCCTTTTGGGTGGGGGGAACTCACCTTGATCTCCTCCCGGTCACCCTTGAAAAGAGTGTTTTTTAAAAAAACTACAACTCTGTTGGGGGGATGATGGGGTTTGTAATTGGGGAGAAAGCCAGGTTTCCAAGCTGGTGCTCCAAAGGGGGATCCCGTATGCAGGAAGGTAAATAAGGAAGGCACAGGAGGCGTTCTGGGGGCAGGGAGGGGGGACAAAGCCTTTCGCAGTAAGCATCCTAGGGTTTGGATTTGCAAAGAGCGCCCGGCCAAGGCAGAAAACAGGGAGGAGAACCGATCAAAGCCGGAGGGTGCCGGGGGGGGCAGAGCGAAGCCAGAAACGGTGGCCTCAAAAACGCCAGCCACTGTGCCGAATGCCCTCCCCGGGGCTGGAGGTGGTGTGCCACCAGCTGGGAATCTGTGCAGAGGGAGGGTTGCATAACGATATGTTCTGATTCCTCTCTTTATGCTAATACCGGTGCCATGGCCCTGAGGCTATCCGGTGTCTTCTTGTTTATTTGTGGCTAAATTCTAACTTTACCAAGCCATTAAGAATGTCCAAATATCTCTGTTGGATCAGAACACAATAGCCCATATCGGCCTTCCCAAACCTGGTGCCGTCCAGAGGTTCTGGCCTACAGGATCAGCCATGCCAGCTGGGGGACGATGGTCTTTTTAGTCCAGCTCCTCTGGAGAGCCCCGGCCTGGGAAGGCAGGCGGAGAAGGGGGAATCTGGAAAGATCCTCATAGCTGGAGAGGTTTCTGTGGCCTATGGACCACGAAAGATCTTTGTGGAGTGAGTCATTTATTTTTCCACTCTTTTTTAGTGAGCTTTCACGATTATGGTCTCTGTGTCTTTCCGTGCGTGTCAGAAAGGGACCTCCTGAACACGGAACCGAGCCCTCTCTGCGCATCTAAAATCATTCCTAGAAATACTGACAACATTTCCCGAAGGCAGGGCCACCCGTGGCCACAAAGAGACCTAAACCACAATGTTATCTCTTGTGTCTTTTACCCCCAACGAACCAAATCCATGTTTGCTCTTTCCTTGAGCACCCGGAGGCAACAGGCACACACCGTTTCAGTGGCAAATGGCGCCCCGTTCTCTGATCTGAGATGCACCAAATAAAACAGAACACAGTCGTGTTGGGTTTGGACCATGTGTTTACTTTCGAGACAATTGGGGGGGGGTTTCAAGAGGGTGGTTGTTTTGCTCTGTTTTACACATTTTCTACTTTACAGAAGAAGAAAACAGCCGTGCATAGAACGTAATGTGCCTTTTAATTTTTACACCGTCTCGTCCCCTCTGGGGCGGCCCCGTGCTGTCAACGTTACCTCCTGCAACTGGAAATAGCAGAATAAATGTGTTTCGAAAGCATCAGACTCCCTGGGGCTTTTGAAGCCCACTGGGTTTTCAAACACACGTTCCACATTTCTCATGAGGAAAAACTTCATTGTCGGCCATTCCATCTTGCTTTTTGAAAAATTGTGCCCATTATCTGTACTTCTCTGTGCTTGGAATACCATTTATTCCCCCTCCCCCAGTATACCTCTTATACCTTTCCCCCAAGTCAGCACTGAAAGAGCCAGCACACCTGGGGATTCTGGTTCTTGTAGTACAGAAAAGACACTTTTCGAAGCTGTGTGTCCTCTAGCACTCCATCTTCGGATTATTTTTCACAGCGGATGGACTGAAGTCCCAAACAGACACCCACCGGCTTTCCCTCCTTTCTTCCAAAGAGAAACATCATAACAGACATCAAATCAAGCCAGGCTGGCAGCACACACTAGAGGTTGTGGGACGCCGAAACCCAGTGACCTGAGTCTGCACAGGTAGGGCCCAAGGATGATGGGAAAGGCCGTCCAAGGCTCTCCGAAGGGTGCCCTGCCCGGCTTTACAGTTTTCCTCCAAGACACGGCAGGTGGCACCGGGTGGACGTTTCATTAGAGCGGTAGTTGCCAACCTTGGGTCCCCGGGTGTTCTTGGACTACAACTCCCAGAAACCCCAGCCAGCACAGCGAGTGGTGAAGGCTCCTGGGAGTTGTAGTCCAAGAACACCTGGAGACCCCAGGTTGGAAAGCAGCCAGATGACGTGTCCCATTTCCTGCCATCAGCCGGCAAGGTTAAAAAACAAAACAGCTGCAGATGTGATCCGGTAGATCTTGTAAGATCAACGCCGGGGAAGAGTCCTAATTGCTAGCCTTCCAAATATAAATACACCAGAGACAATGCAACACCCTTCTATATGGCAAGAGGGGACGCACAGACCCAGGTCACGGTCACAAGAGCGATTCTTGTTTTTTGCATTCAGAGGCAAACACAGAAATGGAAGCCTCTGCACTCTAGATCAGCCTCCCAGGACCAAATGTGGCCCCCACGCTTCAGAACACAATACCCATCATCCCCACCCAGCCTAAACGCTGTCCATTCCCTCTCCTTCCACCTGGGATTGCCACCAAGAACTGTAGCTTCTTCACCTTCCCATTCTCAAATTCTGGAGCCACACATCTGAGTTTTAAAATATCTATTTTTCCACCCTAGCTAAATGATCATATTGAAAAGCTCACACTGTCTCTCTCTCTCTCTCTCTCTCTCTCTCTTGCCTGTCCGGGTTTTCTTTTCCACCATTCAAGCAGCCCTTCTTGCTTCTACGCCTCCGTTTAATGACAACAAAAATACATTTTGACGGGAGGGCAGAGAAGGGGCAGCCGCTATTTCTAGAAAGCCCCACCACGGTCTGCTTGAGGATTTGTCGACCTGCGAAATGACAGCCAGCAGCCCCAACATCTATTTTGAGCTGCCTGGGAAGCCTGTGATCGGCCCAACGAAAGCAGCCACAGTTTGCATCCTGCAAGGGCTGGATCTGGCTCTCTGCAAACATGACTCTGACTCATTCGTGCAAAATGCATTTTTTAAAAAAAAAACCACATATCTGGGACAATCTTTTTTAAAACAAACAAACAAACAACACCCAAACCAGGAGAATCTTCTGAAGCCATCTTAAGAGGGGCGGACATACCTGCCGATTCAGCTGCAAGGGGACGATGGGCATTGGAGTCCAGACCGTCTGGCGGGCCCCAGGAAGGGAGGACACTGCTCTTAAGATGTGGGTCCTGTTGCTGCTCGTATGACATACTCTGTTGAGGTTCCTCTGGTTCGTTGAGTTCCTTTCCCAAAGCCACATCCAAACGACGGATTCGGAGGCCCGAGGACGACAAGACAGCCCTCTAACGCAGTCCTCGGCACACCACAAAACAAAGTCTAACGGCCGAAACAGAAACACACCACCATCTTTTTCCGAAAAAAAAAAGGGGGGGGAACCACCTTATCGGCACAACAACCCTTAAGATTCATATTTATTTAAATATAACTTTTATGGCTTAGACAGCGATTAGAGCATTAAAATTTAAAAGGAACTGGTCCCATTACTCATTACTTCTCAGGAGTAAAGTTGCAGTTCTCATTACTTCAACTCAGTCTTAATCTCTTTTTTTTTCTGATGCATTCAGATTGCCGTTACCGACAGGACGAGAAAGGTTTTGCAATACGTTCTTGGGTTCTTTCTAGTGGCCACTTATAAAAGGGCCCCTAGGAAATATTTATGAGACCAAAACTAAGAATGCTGTAGGATCTCCATATCTGCAAGATCAGTATCCACAGTTTCACTTATATTTAAAATATTAAAAGAAAAAAAAACAGAAATATGAATTTCCATGGTGTAATTACCAAAACTGGTCACTAGAGGGCACCAGAAACAATGCTACATAGGGTTCACAATTATCTGCAGTTTTCAGCATCCGTGGGGGGGAGGGGGTTTTTCGAAACTGATCCCCTGCAGATACCATGGTCCTACTCTACTTTCCATTTAAGAATTGTAAGAGGAAATTCCAGCCAGAATGTCTGTAAAATACCTTAAAATGCCCTTGAAAAGTAGCTTTCAAAAGTAACTAATATCACCCATTGCAACTAAAAAGTAACTTTTGACTTATAGTTGATTTACTCCTTACCAAAAAGTAACTAGTTATTTGTAACTAACTCTCAGCCTAGGCCATAATGGAAATAAAACCTTGCACCTGGTGAGAACCAAAAATCTTCATTTCTGTCCTATGTGACAGAACGACAATTATAAGAAGCCGGTTGTTTCCGCCTAGTCGATATATAAGTAAATCAGCTCAAATCCAGAACCAAACTGGTGCCTGTCACACCAGCAAGTCCCGTTCCATCAAAAGCCGCTACCGGCCCTTGTCACCTCCAGATCTCACAGGGCTCTTCACCATTTGGAAACGGGGAGCCGGCTGGAACGAGGCTGCGGCTGGAGAGTTAAGCCAATGAGAAGGAAAAACCGGAGCAGGGCCCTCCTTCCGAGGGGCCTGGATGCACGGAATGTGACACAGAGACAGACGGTGGGGGTTACGGGATTTTGCAGTCTTTTATCTACAACAGGGCGATAAATCTTCCCCCTCCTGGACAGGTGGCCTGAACACGGAAGAGACAAGGACGCCGGCAGTCCGAGGTTTCGCCTCAACGCTCCTTTTCTCCAGGCGGGCTTTATTATTTTTTCTTCCTCCCCCAGCTTCTGTGAGGTCCCAGCTGAGCACACTTGCTTCGAAGACGGTGGCGATCACCTCTGTCTTCCTTCTGGTCGCCAGAGGGCGATCTGCTCGCGAAGAGAGTTCGGGGTCCACCACCTCGTCCTACAAAAGGGCCAGGAAGCCCCCCTTGACTGGTGTAATCCACACGGATGAGACATTCTGTTCCAAAGTGTGCGCACGCACGCACGCACGGTCTCTGCATCGCTGGAGGAGACCATCTGCTTTTACAGGTGTCCAAGAAAATATATATATGTATATCTACACATACCACACACACACCACACATACCCCATGCACTGCTGAAAAACTAGACACAGGAGATAGAAAGAGGAAAAATCCACCACCACCCCCTCTATAAACGTGGTTAGTATTTTGTACCCAGTAGGCCTGGGTTCGAATCCTGGTCAGCTGGGACACATCCACCAGGTAATCTGGGGCCTTTGATTCTCTCTCTCAGACTGGCCATCCTCACAGGGTTGCCATGAGAATAAAAGGGCCTGGAGAACAAGCCATGCGTGTCCTCTTGAACTCACTAGAGGAAAAGTGGAACACAACCGTAAGAAGTAAAAGGGGGGGGGAATTATTCCTGCCCCCACCGGTTACAAGTCTAGAAGGGTTTTAGGTCATCGCCCCAACACCCTAAAAGACTTGTCCTGCGCCAGCAAGGGTTCAAGAAAGGCAGAGTCGTCGGGGCACGGAAGTTGGGGGGCGAGAGAGACCTCACCAGCGGGGTGCGGATTCCGCCTGCGGAAGCAGAAAGCCCTCTTGACGTGGACAGGAGAGCCCTTTCACTTAGCAGCGGCTTCACTGAACATGGGTGGGGGGCTTTTGTTTTGTTTTTTTGTTTTTGTGACATAGGGGCGTCTTTCGGAGTGTGAATGTCACAAAGGACGAACACCAAGAGTGACAAAACAAGAGAACCGGATCCCCCCCCACCCCCCGATCCTTCCACTGTGACTTATTGCAAGCACACACCCACATCCACACGCCTAAAGGGCTTCCCCTTCCGAAACACGCCAGGTTCCCGTCTTGATTTGAGTTGAGCCCTTTCCTGGACATGTCAACACGCACAGCTCGTCCCTCCTGATGGTCCCAGCATGGCCCGTTCTCACATCACTTGCTTCTCCGGACAAAATTTCCTGGGCAGTAAAGGGGGTGCCAGAGCAGAACGCGGGTCTCTGCCCCAGAGGCCACGCAGAGCAGCCGTCCCGCCAAGAGAGAGGACGTCCGTCTGCCGAATTCGCCTTCGTCTTCCACCCGTGCCAAGGCCCAAAGGATGAAACCGCGGCGTGTGCATTGGTGGGGAGGGCAGAGGGAGGAAGAGCAAAGCGGGCGAGGAGAGCGCTCAGCAAAAGAGGGTCAGACGGCTCCCCGCGCAGAGCCCGGATCGTCTACGCCGCGCTAGGATTTCATGAGCCTCGAGCGACTGACAGCTAAAGAGTTACCCGTCGGCGTAAAATGGAATGGGCAAGGGGGCAGGTTGGGAACAGCCTCAAAATCTCAGGGGAGAGGAAAGACTTCATCTAATTTTAGTCACAAAACTCCAGTCCCTCGCAGAGTCCCCGGCCCTGGGATCTCTCGGTGACAACGCCGGCCGGCGGGTGGAATCCTGGACCAATGTAGGCAGGGCACAGAAGCAGGCGCCGGTCTCAGGGCCCTCCGCTGTAAGAGTAGTCGGCCTTATTGTGCATGACCAGTTTGTTATCGACAAAGTAGAAACTGTCCGACTGGGTCTCGTAAGGGTGCAGGATCATTTCTTGGACTGGGGAAGAAGAGAGAGAGGGAACAGAGTCTTATGGGGTCTGACGGCACCCAGGACTGCCCCCCCCTTGCAGCACTTCCCATGGTCAAATTACAAACGCCAACATGACTTACGACACAGCGGAAGGATTCTTTGATTACGAAGGTCAGAATCCAGACACTAGTTCCCACTAAAGGAGACCCACAGAATCAATGGGATTTACACACAGGCTGACTCCACTTTTTGACAACTGACTCAACAAGGCTTCAGCCGACATGAGGGACTGGGCTGAGGTCTCAGAAAATCAATATATTTAATGAATCATTCAGTCATTAAATTCATGACCCCATTATGGACATGGATTCTCGCTCACGTCTCTAAAAACCCAAAGATTTCCCTGTAGGGAGGGGGAAAATCCACAACGGATCCCCATCCTCATCTTTTTCCTCGCTTCGCTTCGCTTCCTGCCTTTTCTCGGAGCCATGTGTTTATCAGTCGTGGCATGTGTTTATCCACCGTGCTTTCATTTTTCCACTTTTTTATTCATCTTACAGATTCCCTTCACCCGGCTTTATTTAACCCCCAGCTGCCAGCTAATCCAGCCCGTGGGGTGGCCGATTCCGTGGGTGACTTACTGAGGTCTTCGGAGAGCTGTGGAAACTCATAGATGTGTTCGCAGGTATTTTTGCTGCTCGGGATGCAGAAGCCGAATTCGAAATCGAAGCTCTTCAGCAGCTGGTCCCGGAAATAGTGCCTCTCAATCATGCGGAAATTGTTGATGGGTTTGTCGCCGACTGTGAACTCCACCCTAAGGCAGCAGGGAGAGAGAGGAAAGCGAGAGGGGAGGGATGAGGAAAACTCCAGCTTTTCTCTCCGCTTCCACTGCTGCCAACGAGGTTCATGTTGACCTCCCAACAGCCAGTCACAAAAGAGAGCGAGGTGGCTTGCGAAGGACGGGGAGGCGCAAGCAAAATCCTCCCCAGGGAACTGGACCTCTCACAGCCCCCAGCTGGAGGGGAAGGCGGCACGAGGGCTGGTTCTCTGCCACCCGTGACGTTTTTAACAGCACCCCTCTGGAACACGGACCGCCCCCTCCTTGCAAGGCGCCAAACCCGAACCCCCTCTACTTACGTGGCCCCCACCTGACGCAACCGGAGAAACGCAGGGGTGAACTGGTAGCGAACGAACCGGCCGGCGTTCGGGTCAGCGTCCTTCTTGTCACTGCGCTCTCGCTCTGAGAGTTAAGGGGGAGGGGGAGGGAAAAGATATTCTAAATCTATGTTTTCCTGGTTTCTCCCCAAATTTACTTCTTCCCTGGATAACTGGCCTCCTGAGTGAGTCTGTGTGGGGATTTGAACTCGGAGCTCCTGTGGCTGTCTGGGGGTGGGGGAGATTCTAGGACTCATCGTCCAAAAAAAGAAGGAAAAGGAACAATTTGCAAGCTTTGGTTAGGGTATCGGCACAACAGAGCCCTTTTGTTTCTTCTGCCCATTAATCAGTCAACCCCAAGATAGACTCTCTCTGAATATGGAAGCCCTATCTATCTATCTATCTATCTATCTATCTATCTATCTATCTATCTATCTATCTATCTATCTATCTATCTATCTATCTATCTATCTATCTATCTATCTATCTATCTATCTATCCCAGTGTTACATTATTACACTATAACAAGATTGTGTAATACATCGCTTCTTCCTGTTTGTTTGTTTTTGTTTTTTTTTTGCCTTATTTTTGCCTTTTACACCCTTGAAAAAAAGGGAGCTGCTCCCAACCAAGAGCCTTTCCTTCCTGTCACTCCCTCCTGGTTTCGTTTCCTGTCACTTACGTGCCTTTTAGATAATTTCTTTTAAAATGAGAGGATTTAGTCCAGTGTTACACACACACACACCCCTCCAAAAACGATGGGGCAAGAAGGACACCCAGAGACGGGTCCGTGAGGGTGGGCCAAGCCGCTTTGCTGACTCACCCGAGGCCGGGGGCTTGGTGATTTCGAAGAGGACGGTACCAGACTCCATGTCCCGAATCTTGAAGCGGGTGAAATCAATCTTGTAGATGTTCTCCTCGGGAGTGCACAAGTAATCTGAGAGAAAGGTGGAAAGATCCGTGAGTTAAGCAAGGCTCCTACCACCTCAGGCCACCCTCTCTGCTTCTATGGCCAACTCCCCCCCCTCCAAATCAGGGGTTTCGTACCCGTGGATCAAAATTTGGAAAGAATTTCAAGAGTTTCAGAAACTGAAATTTTGAAAAGCAGTTTGGGAGAAACATGTCAAAAATCTGAACACAAGGGTGGTGGTGGGGGAACCAAGGAAATATTTTTTTTCCTGCCCTACCTACACCACAAACCCACGCCAATGAGACAAAGCTCATGGCAGGTTATGCAGAATTTTGGGGGGGAAAAAACCAGTTCAAAAACCAAGTTTCTAGACCTCATGGCCAAGAACAACAGACTTGAAGATAATTCACCAACATCAGGTTAGCAGTGACTGGAAGATGAGGCTGAACAGGATTCCAACGTTTCAGGATCGTTTGATAATTCCTTGCCCCTCCCCCAATAAATTAGCAGCAGAATAAATTATATAGAATCACACACACACAGGTGCAAATCTGCCTTATTTGTGTAGCTTGTGGAAATCACTTCAACTTTCTGATTGAACTAAAGAGGTCGGTATATTTTCACCCAACCTGAAGCAGCAACGAAGACAATTTTTTTTTTCAAACCCCAGCTCAGCCTTGAGCGCTTGCAAACAGGCTGGGAAGGGCTAAGAAAGGGTGCCCAAAATGGTCCCTTCTGGGCGCCAACCTCCCCCCCGCCTAGGTATGTGATGCCTGGTGTGCCCCACCCAAAATGCCACCCAGTCGCCCCTGCGGCAATAAGAGGCTTGAGGCCTCTGACGGAGCAACCAGGGTAAGCGGCTTTGCAGCCCCTAAGCTGCCTTTACCCCAAAATAGAGCCGAGGCGCCTGCCAGCAATTCTGGAAACCAGAGTCCCAAACGCAGACGTTTTCCAGCCTCTCGCAAGGATTTCCAAAAGGCGGTTGGCAAACCGCGGGAATTGTAGAGCGGACCTCCCAGGGACCGACACCATCTACCACACGGAGGCCCAAGACATGTTCATTACAAAAGAGAGAGAGAGAGAGAGAGAGAGAGAGCACCCGGCATTGTAAATTTCCCAAGCGTGTGGTTCCAAAGCCACTCCAGAACTTTTCAAGAATCGGAGAGCTTTCTCCCCCTGAAGGTTTTCCCTTTATAAAACCCCTGATGTAAAAAATGCAAACGTTTCAGCCTAAAGAGATCCACAAAGCTCAAGAGTTGCTTCCTCGCCCCCCCTGCCCACTTCTCAGACACCTACAGCGAGAGCATCCGTCTCCCTTACTCTCTGCGGAGGTCCCCACAGCCTCTATTTCCCTAAACAGAGTCTAATTTGGCCCCCTAACGAGGTGAGGCGTGCTTGTCAGCAAAGGGACCCTCTGTGCGTGCCAGAGAATGGCCGGGGAGGGTGCCACGGCTGAAGGAGCACGCGCTCCGGGAAGGGGCACGCTCAGGCAGAAGGGGGGCCCCACCACGAAGAAGGCCACGGACGTTTCTTAGACGCTGCCGCTCCCGGGGACCCCCCCCTCTCTTCCGCAGAGAGCTGGGTTTATTTGGACCCTTTTCCTTGCTTTTCTCAGCCCCGAAGCATCATCCTGCCTAGTGCGAAGGATGGGGATCAGGAGACTGCCGGAGGCCCCCTTTGGGTTCTGGCGCTCTCCTGACCCCCAATCAAGGTCCTCAGCAAACCCTGCGCTCTGTGGATCGAGCGAGCGGCCGCTCTGGCATTTCACAGACATGCAGCTTCCTTCCTTCTCTGATCGTCAGTTTTGGCTCCATTCCCCCCCCACCTCCGGCTGTGGCTCAGGGGGGCAGAATGACACATTAGGGGGGCCGCTGGAGCTTCCCGCCCATCAGGCCAAGGCGGGCATCTGGGGGGGGTCCCCTTGCTAACGAAGCAGCGGGCTCTTCCTTCTTCCCACCTGGCGCCATGGCAACCGCGATGTTTGCATGTGTGTGCGTGCACACACGTCATTCGCCATAGAGACCATGTCAGGGTGTCTCTCTCTCGCTTCCCTGCGCCGCTCACNCCCCCCGCTTTCTCTCCCTCCCCTTCCACAGAAAACTCTGCTTCTGGTATGCCAGGCAATGAGGCCTAGAAGCAGGGGCTAATTCTTCTATCCTGAAAACAAAAAACCCATCATCCCAGTGCTCTGGGGGTGATGGGAATAGCAGTCCTAGGCCTCCGGACAACACACACTCGTTTAAAACAGCTCCCTCCTGCCTCGGAGGCCAGCGGGGATAACATGCAGCTATTCTGGCGAGGGACCTGCGGTGATCCTAACTGGCAGAGATGTATCCCAGGCCCTTTTTCCTAGTTGTCAGTGAATCTTGTGGCAGGGGGTTCCACAGTTTAAGCCAGACTTTGCTTTTTCTCAAATATAGTGCCAGGAAAATTATGAGGAACCTCATCGGAAACGGGTTCCAAATCAGCAGTGCCGTGGTGTCAGGACAAAACGTGTGCAGGGGAGAGCAGGCGCAGGGGAGGGAGGGAGAGAGAGGGGAGGCGAAGGCAGGTGAGTTGCCTCCGCCATGCGATGGTCACAAGGTTGCATCAATTAACCAGCTTTGGTTGGGTAACCAACCAGGTCAAGGGCTATTTTAAAACCCGCAGCCTCCACATAAGCCCCCGGGTGGCAAGCAAAAAGCCCCCTGGGGGCGGGCAGGATTAGGGCCATGCAAAGGAAGCAAGACAAAATACGGCAGGACGGGCTCGGGAAGGAAACAGGAAGGCGCGCCCAGGAGCCAGTTCTGCAAAAGCACCAAGGAGAAGCTTCCGAAAACCCCCAAAGGAAGGGAAATCTTTAGCCCTCTTGGTGCTGCTCCTTGCAAACACAGATACTTGCAAAAAAAAAGGCCAGCGGCCTGTTGGATTTCCAGAGCAGGGAAGGGGGTGTGTGGTGTTCCCCAAATGCAGGGGTCGGACCCCTTTTAAAGACAAAATAGTTACCGCTCAGCCTCCTGTAACTTGGTTAAATTCCATCTTGATCCTCCATTCCTGATGCTTTCGTAATGGCACAAAGCAGTGCGAAGGACCCCCCCCCTTTGCTCCTTGAGCCGAGGGTCACCTGCTCTGACTGGCAGAGACTCTTGGGTCCCAATCCGAGACAGCCCTTCCCCTCGTTGCCCCTGGGTCCTTTTCAAGCTGGGAAAGCCAGAGAGACCCATCCCGGGACCTTCCAGATGCACAGCAAGACACCTCACAGACACACCCCGAAAGCCATGGTCCCTGCTCTAAACGACCCCTTTAAATTAGGGGTGCCTTCTTCAGCTCCCAGAGAGAAAGGCTGGATATAAAATAAATGCATCAATGAACATCAAGTTTCTAGTCCTCCTGAACTGAAAGAAAGGGAAGGTTTCCATACAGAGCCTTCACTTTGAAGCCACAGCCTCAAGGGACCATTTCGGTTGTTCTGCCCCGGCCTCGTAAATGGCAGGCTTGCCCAGTGGTCATCCCCTTCCTCGGGGGCTCTCTCTCCACATGCCCCCCCCCAGGTAGAGAAAGGGGTCCGGCTTTACTGGAGGTGGGGTGGGAGTGGGAAAATCTGCTTATCAAGATCTGCCTGGCAAAGAACAATTGCTAGTGTATGTTACCTTTCATGTTTGTATTTAAACCGCTTTGTTTTTACTAATATTGAGCGGCTTTATTTAAAGCCAACCTTTTGCACTTGGAAACAAAAACAGATAAATATTGCTGCGCGACAGCCATCGGAGCTGTGTGACACTTCTCCTCTCCCGTGGGCAGTTTCGTAAGTTAGCGGTGGCAAAGAGCCACGCTTGAACGCTGCAAGGAGTCGGGCCGAATCCCCTCACATACGCACGGGGCAAATGGCCCAGACCAACCCCATCTGTGTAGCCAAGAGATAATTCCCTACCTCCGAGGGATTTTGCTCAGATAAGTTCATTAGCTGGTTGCCAGGAGCTAAAAATAGGGCCTTGATCTCAAGGGAGAAAGGGTCAGGAGGGGGCCGGGAGGAGGAGGCCGAAAGAGAGGGCCCAGCCCTGCGGCTGCTGGGCAAGATCCACACTGGGGAGGCCCTCTCCCTGGCCTCGGGTGGGGCAGCGCTGAGCAGTGGTTAGGGACTAGGCCTCTCAAGAGCCAAAGGTTCGAATCCTCGACCCCTTGGCCCTTGAAACTCCCCAAATGACTTCGGGGCGGTCACTCACTCTTGGCCTGACCCGATTTACAGGGGAGCTGTGGGGGCGGGGGCCTTATTATTCAGGCTAAACTTCCATTCTATCTTCCTGGCAGCCCCGTGAGGGAGGTCAGGAGGAGAAGGTAAGCCTCTGGCCAACCCTGGGCTTAAGACACATTTCTCTAAGGTGTCCTTCATCCACCGTCCCCATCATCCCCTCTCAGCAGCCAAGCTGGCTGGTCCTGATGGGGACTTAAGCCCCCCCCACCTGCCCAGGCTGCCTCTCGTAGGGCCAGTGGGTTTCACCCCTTGGCAAAGGGCTGTTCACCAAGGAAGCTTGGAGGAAGCCCAAAACACCACCGGGGGGGGGGGATGGCTGGTAGTATCGGCTTTGCCCCCCTTTTAAAAAAAAATCTGCTCCACGTTGTGGGAGAACCTTGGTCAATGAATTACGAAGGGCCTTCTCTCCCCTCCCGCCCCACCCCCACCCCAACTGTGGCCCAGGCTAATCCTGGCTAATCAGGATCCCGAGAGGGCCTCTTTCTTGCGTGAGGCTGAAAGAGCAGAGGCAGAAAATAATCCGGGCAATCTGGGAGAGGCAACCCTCTTGTTTTAATCCCTCTGGAGGACAAGAACACCAAGCTGGCTGGCAAGA